TCCAACAGAACAAGCGGGTCATATGGGAACACTAGTGAAGGACACTTAATCCCGCTCTGGCTGGGGGCGAAGTCCCCAGGAGGCTCCCCACTTCACCCCCAGGCCCTGGCTCTTTGCTGGGCCCCTCCCACGTGTGTAGGCACACACCCACGCTGGCTTCCAGCCCCGGCTGCCCCTGGGAATGGTCTTACAGGGTGGAAAGCTCTTAGGATACTTTACTAGGACTAGAATATCATTGTGGAAAATCTCCCCAGGCTCCAACCGCTGACTCATCCCTTGAGCCTTGTCCAGAAAATCAGTCTCCAAGATTGCACAAACTCACATGCGGAACAGCTATCAATATGTTCGCATTTGTATCCATGTCAATCTCCTTCCCTTATTCCTTGATATAATGAGTTATCTAATTATGGTGACATCTGTTGAGGAGGAATCTAGCTTCCCTCTCCCTGCTCAGCATCCAGTACAGGGCTCTTTTTGGGGGAGATCAGATGCTTCAGGGTTTGTGGGGGAGAGGCAGAACCCCAACAGGAATCAGCCGTGGCTGCCACATGACTTGTGCTGTCCCTAGCACCGAGCCCCTCCCTACCCCCAGCAGCGTCTCAGGGATGGGCAGACCTGCAGACGGAGCTGAGAGAGCCGCAGGCTCCCTGCTCCCAGGTCTCCGTACTCCCAGCCCAGGCCGTTGAGAAGTCAACGGGGAAGGCAGAGGCACATGTGCGAATTGCTTCACCTTTGTCTAATAATTAACGTGTTTGCTTTATTTTAACCCAGAAATGAGTTTACCTTGGCTAACCATCGTGTGACCTGGAAACTGATGTATCTACAACTCTTCCTTTCTTGTGTCGGCGTTCCTCAAAGCCAGATTTTAAGTCCTGGCCAACATTCATTCATTCATTCATTCATTCAACAAATACTTGTTGGGCACCTATTAGACACTAGGGGCCCTGAGATAAATAAGCACAGTCTTCCGAGAATTTAACATTTAGTGACGCAAATGACAGCCACACAGGAAGATGATGCTGAGAGAGACTTAGAAGAAGGGGCCACCCGGTCCAGGGTTCCCCCTTTGCCATCACCCCAAGGTGTCTTTAAAAACCACAGAGTCCTCACCTCTCCATGCTGAGCCCCCAAAAGACTCAGGGTGGCATAACCCAACATGCCAAACCACAGATTCCGCAGGGCCAATGACATCCCATTGAACTTAGATTCATTTTGTTGGTGCTTCTCATTGTTCTTTTTCTCAGGAGAATTCTGAGCAGGTTTGATTCATGTTTTCAAGCTTCCTCTGTCTTCAGGGTAAATGTGACTGTTGTACATACTTCTGGCAGGATTTCTTTCCTTGATATGTTAGTCCTAGTTAAAGTGAGGGAACAGAGGACCCACCTCTCACACAGCCCTGGTAAGATCTTTCTCTATGCCCTAGCGCTCAGTGTCTTTTGGAAGCATTTTTTCAGTTAAAAAAAAATTCTTCCACTCATTTTTCTAGGAAATTCCTAATGGTGTAGTCACTAAAAAGCAAAACTCTTGAGAATCTAATGATCCCAATAATAGAACTGGAGGGCTAGGTAGGACCTTCAAGATCATGTAATCAATTCTCTTCATTTTGTGGATGGGAAAATCAAGGCACAGAGTGGGGTTTGGAGAACACATATGGCAGGGTTTGCCCCGTGCTCCTTCCGTACTCAGATTCTTAGCTTCTTGTCATTACCCACATCGTTTGTTTTTCCCTTTAAAGATCAAAGTATCTTTGAATATAAAATAATACTTTTTTCCAGCATCACAAATAGTTAAATTACATTCTACAGGTTATATTCACTCACTCATTCGATCATTATTGATTCATTCTATAAATAGTTATTGAGCACATACTATGTGAATGCATTTTGCTACTCACTGAGGAAGACCCAAAAATGAATAAGACACAGTCTTTACCCTCAAAGGCTCAAATCTATTATGGGTGATAAGACATGGACACAAATAACTTTAATATAATAGCAATAATAATAATAATAGCCATTGCTTATCCAAAGCTCATTATACTTCAGGCACTGTTCTTAGCCTATCACAAATATTAACTCATTAAATCCTTACAGTGACCTTAGGAGAAAGATATTATTATTATTATCCCCATTTTTATCAGTGAGGAAATCGAGGCCCAGGAAGGAAGGAAGAGAACTTGCCTGAGGCCACAGAGCAAGTGGTAGAGCTGCTATTTGAATCCAGACAAGCTGATTCTAAGATGAAAAACAATCACTGCAATTAGAGAGGAACATCTGAGGAAGCATGAAAGCCCCAAGAGGAAAGGTCCTTTCCAGGTGGGGAGAGGCGAAAGGCTTCGTGGAGGGAGGAAGTGGCACTTGAGTAGATTGCCAGATTTAGCAAATCAACATTATGTGCCAACTTGGTGTGGAGGTAGGTGGACACAGGAGGTAACTGCATCAGGGCAATGTGAGGACTTGCAAGAGAAGGACATTCTAGAAGCAGTGGTCCAGGGGTGCCTGGCTGGCTCAGTCAGTTAAGCATCTGCCTTCGGCTCAGGTCATGATCTCGGGGTTCTAGGATAGAGCCCTGCATCGGGCTCTCTGCTCAGGGGGAGTCTGCTTCTCCCTTTCCCTCTGCCCCTCTTCCCCGCTTATGCTCTCCCTCTCTCAAATAAATAAATAAAATCTTAAAAAAAAATTCTCTCTCTCCCTCTTCCTCTGTCCCCTCCCCCGCCAAAGCCACACATTCTCTCTCTAAAAGAAAAAGGGAAAAAAAAGAAGCAGTGATCCAACTGGTCTCCTTATCCCAAAGACTCTCCCACTCCTTCCAATCCCCTTACCCATTTCATCTGAAAAAAGGGATGATCATGTCACTCTCTACCTAAAACATTTCAGTGATTCCCCAGTGCCCTCAGGATTCGGTTCGGACTCCTTCACCTGAGATTTGCCCCTCCCTCATTTATTCACATCTGCTTGCTCATTCATTCCATTTCTCAACCTTATGGCAGAGGAAATTCCATCACCATAACAACCGACTGCTCAAAAGCCTCAGTGGTTTCCCATTGCCAAATGGTACCAGTTCTCCAGACCGGCTCTCAGGGCTGTCCACAGTCCAGACCCTCATATCCACCCACCTCTCCAGAAAGAAACAACCCGCTCTAACTGGGTTTTTCAGAATCCAGGAGCACATCCTGCTCTTGGCCAACCCCATGCCTTGGCCTGTCACATCTCAGAAAATGAGTCATTCTTTGATCAGGCTGTACCCATTCCCTTTGACCCCACCCAACCCAATCTCCCCGCCTCACAACACTTTCAGCCTCTGCTGGCCTCTCTGCTTTTCCACACCCAGCCTCGTGGTGGATCCCAGCTTTTGCTCCCTGCAGAGCTGCAGCAGGCCCCTTTATTTCCAGAAGGGCGTCTAGAGTGTCATTCCTAGGCCTTTGCTTGCAGAGATGATTATTTTATTTCGGTGTGTTTCTGTTGGCAGCAGTGTGATGCATCACACATCCAACTCAGTGTGCGATGTGCATCAAACAGTGCTCTTACAAGAGGAGTAAACAGTGAGACGAGCAAGTGGCTGTCATTTGTCTCAAAATGTCTCCATTCTGAGAATTGCAGACTGCAGATAAGACCTGTCAGTCAACAGTCATGAATATTATTAAAACTGGCAATGACATTTTTTGAACTTTTTTTTAAAGAAGGAAGTCCAAATTCCTTAGCCAGCCTTCTAAAATCAGTTTCCCAAGAGCTCATTAATCAATCAATGAATTGATTAATTCAATAAATATTTATGGACTGTCTACCACATGCCACGCACTTTGATAGGTGCCCCAGTACCGCACAAAAGGACAAAATCCTCACTCTCCTGGAGCTTTGCGTTTTGGTAGGGAAGTAGACAACAAATGCCGAAGCCAGAGGTCAGCAGACTATGGCCCGTAGGTCAGTTCCAGCTTGCCGCTGGTTTTCCGCAAATAAAGTTTTATTGGAACACAGCCATGCTCATTTATTTATGTACTGTCTAGGGCTGCTTTTGCACGACAACGGCGGAGCTGAGCAGTTGTGATGGAGACCGTATGGCCTGCAAAGCCTAAAATATTTACCATCTGGCCTTTATATAAAAGTTTGCCAACCTATGGCCTAGAAAAATAAGTGTATAATATGTCAGGTGACAATTCATATCATGAAGGAAAATGAACAGGTGTGAAGATAGGAATGTTGGAAAGGAGTGTCCTCGGATGCACACTCTGGTAATGAGGCCATTGAGGAAAGACCTGAATGAAGGTAGGGAGCAAGCCACAGAAACGGGTAACCAACTGAGGCAAGGGCTCAGAGTGGAAACGCGAGTGCAAAGGTCACGCCACGGATGCGTGTTGGGCACATTCCAAACACCAGGACGGCTGTGGGGTTGAAGCCGAGTGAGAAACGGGTGTAGGATCCGAGGGATGGTGAAGGGCCAGATCGCAGTGATGGATGTCAGTTTTATTCTGAGAGGTGTGAAGCCATTGTAAGATGGGGGCAGAAAATGGGTTTGAGTTTTGAAGGATCTCTTTGACTGCTGTGTCACAGAAAAGGGGACAGGATTTCAGGTCAAGGGTGGAAGTGGAGAGGCCAGTGAAGAGGCTTCTATAAGCCCAGGTCGGAGATACTGGTGTCTTGGATCAGGTCCATGGCGGTGGGGGAGGTGGGGGGGTGGGGAGCATGAGGAGGTCAGGGTAGTCATATTTAGGGTGCAGTTCGAAGGCGAGCCAGTAGTCTTCCCTGATGGATTCGATGCAGGGTAAGAGAGACTCCACAATTTGGGGGCTGAGCAGCCCGCAGAGTGGAAGTTACGAGATGGGAAAGGTCGAGGGAGACCAGGCTGGGGGTAGGGAGTGACTGGACATCAGGATTTCTGCTTTGAATGCGTTATGTTGAGTGTTTATTAAGGACAACGTGGAACAGGCAGCCCCAGCCACTTTCCACCAGCTCTCTTCCGCTCACCTCCTCGGGGCCTACGGGCCCTGCGCGCTCCCGCCCGCTTCCCGCCTGTGCTTGGGCAGTGCAGGCCTCCGCCTCTAGAGCAGGCCGCACGCCTTTCCTCCTGATGGTCCTCCCCGGCGGGGCTCCCTGGGACGCCGTCTCCCCACTCCTTTCCCGTCGGCTGCATGGCATCCTGCGGCTTGTCACTTCAATGTGACCTCCTGAGAAAAGGTCTTGTCAGCCACCCTACCTCAAGTAGGCCTCCCCTCGTCATGCTCTACCTCAGCCCCCGTGGAATCCCGGTGGACTGCTTGTCCATGTTTTAATTATTTTATTTACCTGTTTGTTCACTTTTCTTGTGACAGGCCCCTGGTCTTTCCCACGCCCTACGAAACAGAAAACCATAGACAATACGTAAATACGCGAGAAGTCTGCCTCTGCCTTGTTCCTCACGACATCCCCGGGCCTAGCGGAGTCTCTGCCAGGTAACGTTCAACTTTCTCTTTTTCAGCCACGAAACCGTTTCCTCCCGCTGAAATCCTGTGCAGAAGTGCAGGCCACGCATTCATTTCCTCATCGCACAGATTAAAAAAACAGGTGTGCCTCCGGTTGGGTCGGCACAGGGGGGCCCGTATTGTGGCCCCTGACCTGAGAACCGTCGTCCTTGTCGCACAGGATACCGCCCACGCTCCAGCTATCAGAGCGTCAGAATGTCCAAGGGGTTGTATTTCCTGGGGGCAGTTAAATGTCAAAAGGAAGAAAAAAAGAAAAGGCGAGAAGTCGGCCTCTGCCTTGCTCGTCAGGACATCCCCGGGCCTGCTGGAGCAAGTATCTTCCCAAGCCTCGCAGCTTGAGGCCGCCCAAGTGATATCACCTCCCGACACTCTGGGCCCCCCGGACGTTGGCAGGGTCCTGGTGCCGGGCGCGGGGTGGGGGGGGGGCAGGCGGACAGAGGCTGCCCCTCGACTCTTGTTTCCATGGGCGGGGAAGTGGGATTACCCAACTCTCAGAGATTCTGCCCGGAAGTAACAAGTTCTTTTCACTCCCATTTCATTGGTAAAAACAAGTCACTTGTCGAGACCTCAGTGAGATGGGGGCCAGGAAGATGAATCCTCCCGTGTGCCTGGAAGGTGAGGGGGTCAGAGTAGTTCTGATCAACACTGAGGACTCCTCCAGCTACCATGGACGCTGACCATCGTTTTATAGAAGTAATGGCCCATTAGTGCCTGAAATGGAAGAAGGACATCACATCAGAATAAAAACAAAACTGCAGGTTGAGTGAATTAGCCTTATTCCAACCTTGCTCTTTGTCCTTCTCTTTCCCACCTTCACCGTGGACCGGAGGAAAGCAGTCGTAGATTGGTGCTGGTCCCCAGGCCAGCGCTGGTTAATCAGTGGCCTGATCCACTGGAGGAGTTCCCACCTCCTTGCCCTTACCTGCAAACTCATCCACCCCTCGCTCTCTCTGTGTCCCAATCTCTCCATCTTTCAAGGACCAGCTGCAAGCCATCCTGCTGGGGCCATCCCCAAGCAGGCTGTGTCCCTCCAGCATCCCTGTGCCCACACCCCTTGGGGCTCAGAGCCCTTTCTGTCTTGCTTGTACATCGTTTTGAGGGGTTCCAATTACAGATGAACGGAGATGCTGTTCCCATCCATACTCGTTCACAGACACAGCGGGCAGGATAAGGGCAAAGGTTCATCACTCAGAGTTTCCTTATGCTGAAGGACCTGGGCCAGACACTAGAGGGAACAGGTGGCCCAGGCACTATTTAGAAACCCCAGAACTACAATTTCCCCCCTGAGAAATGTATCCACTGGGAGGCACAGATGAGAGGAGGCAGCAGAGTAAGCCTCAGGTACCTGGGAGTCTGTGGGCTTTGGACCACTGAGACTTCTCTGGGGTTCCTGCACTCTTATCTCCTAATGGAGACTGGGAGAACTGTTTCTCCTTCCCTGGGCACTTTTCTCACGACACGAACTTTGCACCACTTCTGTCTCGTTGGGGGTCCATTTGAAGTTCAACAGGACAGAGGCACAAAGGAGTACTTGGGCCCTGTTCCAATGCTACCACGGCTCCAGAAAATGAAACCGAACCTACTTGGTCAAAGTAGAGCCCAGATTTGAATAAATCAATGATATAAAGAGTTTTATTAAACAGACCCAATTTGACCGATGCACATTTACCAAAACTTAAAATAATAATAATAATAATAATAATAATAATAGACAAAATTGTCCACACTATGTAGTTTGTTTGAAAAGTACTTTCACATGTACTTTCTCACTTGATCCTCATCAAGAGTATGCAGGGGTGGACTAGTATAAAGCTCAGAGAGGTTAGGTGGTTTACCCAAGATCACACAGATAATAGATCACTTCAGAAGTTTTGGGTAGCAAATACTGGAAAACTGGCTTAAACAATTAAAGGGGGATTTATTCCCTAATATAATCAGAAGTCTAGGGTAAAGCAGGCTTCAAGTTTGGTTGACTTAGCAGCTCAAGTCCATCATTAAGGAAGTGTACCCTTTCCACCTCTCTGCCATCCCCGGGCTGGCTTCGTCCTCAGGCTGGTGACAAGACAGCCACAGAGTGCCAGACCTGTCATCCAGACATCACTGTGGCAGGAGAAAAGAGAGACCATCATGTGCTGGGCCTCTCTGGATGGTTGGAAAATTTCATCAGGAGTAAGACCCCTAGCCCTTGCCCCCCAGTGATGTCTTGCATCTCACAAGTCATTTCTGAACCACTTACTTGGATGGAAAAGGAAGTTATGCTCAGACAACTCGGGCATGGCTTGGGAACAGGAAAGGGTCAACTTCAGTTGAGGCATATGACTGTGTGGGTTGTGTCCACGTTAGTCTGTAAAAGGCAGAATTGGCATTTGAATTTTGCTCTTTCCTCTGTATCACAGATGTGACTTGGCTCTCCCTCTTTTTCTGTTCCAAGGGAGTACCATATTATAAAATAACAACCACATGGTAGGTATCTCTGAAGTAGCAGATTCCCTTAGTATTTTCAAAATAAGAGTTGAAATACATTTTTTAAAGACCATGTTTATTCTTCCTCTACCTCTGCCCCAAGTCAGCAGGCAAGTTGCCTCAAGCCCAGGGCTGGGGGGCAGAGTGGTGCCAGTGGATTCTGGCCAACATGGAACCACTTGCCTATGACAAATGAGCAGCTCAAATTCTTGGGAAGATGCCTGAAACTTGGAAGTCAGAGGGAGGATGGCCACATCCTGCTCCAGTCCTGGCCGGCACTGATGAGAACTGGGAGGAGGAAGCAGGGCCATGTGGAAAGATCTACTTCCAGCAACCCTGAGGAAGTGGTGGAGACCACTCAGGAACATCTTGGTTTCCAACCACATTCAGGCAACGTCTGCTCAGTTTCTGATGGTAGATACTTATTGAACATCTGCTACGATCAGGTGCTTTAGACACCTTCTCTCTTTTGCTACTCACTACATCCCTGTGGGGTGGGGAATATCACCCACCATTCCACAGATGAGGGACCAGAATCTCAGAGAGGTAAAGTAGCCTTCTTGGGGGAGGTCACAGTTAGTTTGGTAGGCTGAATAATGGTCCCCGAAAATGTCCACATCCTAATATCCAAAACCTGTGGCTATATTACTTTACATGGCAAAAGGGGCTTTGCAGATGGGGTTAAGTTAAGGATCTTGTGATGGAAAAGTCATCCTGGGTTATCTGGGAGTGCCCAAGGTAACCACAGGGGTGCTTATAAGAGGGAGGCAGGAAAGTCAGAATAGAGAGGGAAAAAAATGTGACAATGGAAGCAGAGGTCAGAATAAGGTGAGGAAGGGAACCATGAACTAAAGAATGCAGCTGGCCTCTAGAAACTGGAAAAAGCAAGGAAAGGATTCTCCCTTAGAGCCCCCAGAAGGAAAACAGCCCTGCCAAGACCTTGATTTTAGGATTTCTGACCTCTAGAATCGTCAGATACTAAATCTGTGTTGTGTGAAGCTAGTAAGTTTGTGGTAATATGTTATAGCAGCCATCGGAACCTAATACACTCTACACAGACGTTAAGTATATCGATTTTGAGGCCGGCATGCCCAAGTTCAAAGCCTGACTCTATTACTTAGTAGCTGTGTGACCCTGAGCAAGTCATTCAACCTCTCTTTGCCTGCATTTTCTCATTGGTAAAATGGAGATAGTAATAACATCTGACTCAGAGGGTGGTTGTGAGGCTCACATGAGTTAATATAGGCTCAGCACCTAGAACAGTATCTGAAGTATTATAATAAGCGCTCAGGAGATGCCAGCTCTCATGAACATTCGTGATAGCTCTGCAAGGTGGGTATTTTTATTTTCATTCACATGCTCAGAGAACTCACATAAGTTGTCCAAGACCACATGGCCAAGAAGAGCCAGAGCCCACAGGTCCATCTGGCTTCACATGCCTTTTACCTTTTGCAAGATCTCACAGCTTCCAGGCTCAGCAGTTCGAGTGATTGCAACTGTTGTGACAAGTAACTTGGTCTCCAGGTCCCTTACCTGCCTTCTCTCACCTGCTCTGCTCAGCCTCTCTCCTTTCTGCAGTCAGCCATCAGCTCAGAGTGAAAGCAGCTAACCAACACTAGCATTTGCTTTACATGTTCTAAGGGCCATCTCATATTATTCTTGTAACAAACCCAGGGGCGGGTGGTTAGGCTGGGCAGGGAGCATCATCCCCATTTCAGGGATGAAGATACTGAGGTTCAGAGAGGCTGGAGGCCTTGCCCAAGGTCAGTGTGCCCCTGAGAGGCAGAGAAAAGGGAAGAGGTGGTCTCCTGGCTCCTGGTTCTGAGCCTTTCCAGCTGCCTGTCAAATCCTCCTAAAGGCTCCTGCTAATTCCCTGCTGTCCAAATCAGAGCCAGTGAGAACTGCCATCAGTTTACCACTCATCTAAGAGAATGTGATATAAATCCTGCGTAGGTGGTCTGTAGCATGTGCACATTTTCTTTCCCTTAATATTGCTTTAATTGAATATCACTTGGGTAAAATACTTTGATTAGCAAATGTTTGTGCTTTGCGGATTTAACCAAGTTAGACTTCTCCAGTGACTGGAAAATACTGACTGCTGTGATTGTTTTGATTTTCATGGTGAACCCATTAGAAATCCAGGGTCCCTTGTCAGAGTTCATCGTCCTAGGCTGAACCCAGCAGGAGGATCCTGCGTCACTGACATTCCTGGTGACAGAGAACAAATTCCTTCCCCTCTCGGGGGCCCCAGCAACGTGCTCTGGGAAATGAGGGGGTTGGACCAGATAATCCCTAAGGGTCTTTGTAGCTAGAGGTTTTGACGACCAAACCCCAGGCTGAGGTTCCTAGAAGCACAGGAATTCTCTTGCAGCTTGCATGCGAGGGCTCTGTCTTGGGTCCTAGTGCACACGGAGGCTTGGCTGCGGTCCAGGGTTGCAAGTGGAGCAGAGCCCTGTGCACCGCATTCCCCCCACCCCTGCCACCCCCATGCAGCCTGGAGACCTGTGTTTGTTCTCTGCCCTCACCGGGAGGCTGCCCTGCCCCAGCCGCAGCTCTCCCAGCCCCCAGCATTGCTACGGATTCCTTGGCAATGGGGAGACTAGATGGAAGTGCCAGGACTGTTTCCTGGGTCCCCTGCTCTGCCTGTTTCGGGATTCTCAACAGAGGGGCTGCCATGCGTGGTTGAGGGGGAGCGGCGGCTCCGTGGTCAATTGGCCCGATAATGAATCCATCCCCTGCTTTTTTTTTTTTTAATTTATAAAGATGACCTTTTCCTTACTTTTAAAATGGGGCACTTTCAACTTATTTTGTATTTCCGATGATCTTCACTCAGTGGCACCATTCTTGGAAGCGTGAGGCTGTTTTCTGTTCCTGAGGGTGTCCTAGAACCCACACATTCCCAGGCCTCAGCAAGCGGGGGATGCAAATGAAGTTCAATGACATTAATGCTGAAGTCTTGCCACCACGGGCCCTGACCGGGATGACCAGGGGACGTCAGCAGCCCCCCTCCCCCAGCTGGTCCCCGGGGCCACCTCATGGGGGCCCCACGGCCTGTGTATCGGTGCTCTTCAACTCAAATCCTCGCTCACGCAGCCTTGCTGCTCAGGGCACTACAGCGGCCCTAAAGCCATACTCTGCCTCTGGTTCGGAGACAGGAGGCTAGTGGCCTCCTCCCAGCCCTGGGCCAGGCTCCTCATGTGTGCAGAGCCTTTCAGTCTTTTGTGCACGCGATCCTTCATCGTCTAGCC